ATATTAAACAAGAAGGAACTCAAAGCCGATCCTTGATGTAGCCCCACCTCCACCTTGAACTCCTCTGTCTGACCTACAGCACATCTCCCTACTGTTGTACTCCTCTCATACATGTCCTGAACTACTCTGACATACTTCTCTGCCACTCCTGACATCCTCATACAGTACCATAGCTCCTCTCTCGGCACTCTGGCGTACGCTTTCTCCGATACGGTATGGAATTTGCACTGATGATTCGCATGTTTAAATTTGGCATGTTTTTACGCCGGATGCCCTTCCTGACGCAACCCTCTCTATTTATCCGGGCTTGGGACCGGCACAGAAGTCACTGGCTTGCAACCCCTGTGGCTAGATTCAAAGATGAAATGGACCATCCAGAATATTAGCAGCAACAAGTCCAAAAGCCAGGGTATGTCATGGTCTGGGGTTGTGTCAGTGCCCTTGGCAAAGGTAACTTACACTTCTGTGATGGCGCCATTAAGAACAGTACATAGAGATATGCTGCCTTCAAGATGACATCTTTTCCAGGGACGCCCATGCATATCTCAACAAGACAATGCAAAAACCTCATACTGCACATTACCAAGGCCTGACTGTGGAGGAAAAGGGTGTGAGTGCCTGATTGCAGTCCTGACCTGTCCCCAGTAGGGAATGTGTGACAATCTGTTTTATTAATGTGTTTTTTTTTTTCAATAAATAAAAGAAAACCTAGGCCTCTTGCGCACCTTAAGACTTGTTTGCAGGAAAAATGGAACAAATCACTCAGTGCCCTCAGTCCCTAAATGTCTTTTAAGTGTTGTGAAAAGGAACGGCAGCATCACACCATGGTAAAAGCTTTACTGTCCCAACTTTTTTCAGAATGTGTTGAAGTGTTTATTTTGAACAAAGAATAAAACTGATGAAGTATCACATCAAATAATGTGCTGCTGTATTTGCAATGCAATACAGAGATAAGACAGAGATAATTTACACATCACTTTTTTCTACTTTAATCTTGATTTCACATACCGTCCCAACTTTTTTTGATTTGGGGTTGCAGTAACCTTAGCTGAGAATATCACTTTCTTTGTTCTTCACACATGCCAAACAACAACACAGAAAAGTCAAATATTATGATTACTCCTGTAAGATAAAGAAATATACATTATAATGAAGTGTGTGTAATATCCTTTGTTTATATTCAAGTGTTTATGCTAATACTTTAATAAGAATGGATGAGCTTCACAGTGAAAAGACACTGAATTATTAATAAGAGCTTTCTCTGTTTATAAAAATATTCTGCTTTGCATTATGCTATCTTGGAGCCCAAAAGGATGAGCATACAGCAACTGATGCCTGCTGGGGATTCTGATAATTGAAAGGGTTTATACACATGCTTTGAGTTGACATTTTTACTGCAGCGCTGGCTCAGTTGCACTTTATGTGTAAAGGGAAACATCTTGGTTTACTGTATCTTAGACCTTCACCTTTTGACATTTATTGCTTCACAACAGAGATTACAGTCATCTAAATGAATGACTTCTATTAATTAAACATTAATTTGAAATACAATATTTATTGATCACAGGTTTGAGTGTGTTGCACACAACTTTGATGGGGAAGTACTTTGTGGTTCTATAACCACTCTCATTAAGTGACGTAATAAAATTCCATGCATTATGTACACAAAACTAAATGTACATAAAATTACAATGTATCTACCCTCAACTTGCTGTTCTACATCCAGAATAGACCATGCTTAACTACTGCTTTAGAAATGTAAACAATAATTTCATCAAACTTAACAAAATGACCATAAGAAATATTACTGCCATATTTTGCCCATGCACATCACAGTGGATAACTTGTTTTATTCTTGCAGGAATGGTAAAACATATTATCTTCCAACATCTGCCTCTTCAGTGAACATACCAGGTAGATGAGCTATGTTTGCACAAGCCTTAGAATTATTATTTTACAAACTACGTGATACCGGAAGGAAATTGTGCTTTTTATTACAGATTGAAAAGGAATCAAAAGCCAAGTACCTTGTAAGAAAAGCTTGATAAATACAAAATTCATGCCTTGAAACATTTTCAGAAATGTGACAGTTTGATCTGCTTTCTGCCAGTTGTAGAGCCACATATTACTTATTTATCTGCTTGTTTATTTTACACTGTACTCAGAACCCTCTCCACACCCAGCAACAACTGCAAGGTCCTAGCATGCATATCAGCTAAATGCTTCTTAGAAGGATGAAAGAAAGCTTCACATGACAGATTCTGTGCTACACTAGGTAGAGATATTTCAAATATACAGTAGTCTAACGGACCACTTTGCATATTTGTGGGACCAACAACTGGCTTTAGCTCTGCAAATAAAGTGCAATGAGAAACACAACCATACACACTAACACATGCTCACATACTTAGCAGCACTCATGGTGCACACACACACAAATGGTGAAATATCAAAGCAATATAAAATACTGTGTTCAAATATTGGAAGGTCTAATTCTTTGCTGCAACATCCCTGGCCTGATAATGTACGTCCAGGTGTAGAGACAAGATGTAGCCTTTTACTCACTATGAAGGTCAGGAAGGACAAGTTTAAAATTTATGAGAAAATTGCATTTGATGTTCCCTTTATGGCTGAATCAGCAGATCAGGCTACTATACCCCTTGAATCACTAATATACACTATTTTAACACAGTTAAACATAACCAAACCACAACTACAATGCATGATAAAAAAATGTTATCGTTAAAATAAAATATCTTTCTGGCAAAATCATCCTCTGTATACAATAAATGCATATAAGAAACAAATGTCATTATATCGCTAGTCTTTCTTCTTACCTGCGAAGTGGATTCTAAGTGTTATTCCTTAATATTTAAATGGTGAAATTATCTTCTAAAATGAACGGCCAACAACAAATAATCCAGTGGGTTACACATCACAACTGTGTAGGACTGTTCCAACTCTTTCTTCCCCTGTGACCCTCTAAGACCAGAAAAATGTTTGGCTCTCTAGAAAGGAAAGGGGCACTTTCCTCCTCTAAAGGAAACTCCTGATGAGTTCCTTCCTCTGCACTACCACAATAGCATGCAAGCAACTGGAAACACTAGGATCACATCCTGAGTTTGAGGCAAAACACTGCTTTCACAAAGCCCTACAAACCATGTTTCTTTAACATAGAGTTAATGAGTTTTACTGTCACCAAGATCTCAAACTGCATTATTACTGAAACTAGTCCATATCTGGGCATTACAAATAGTCATAAGCAATCAAATGTTTGAACACTTCATGTGATTATGTGGCTTTGTATAAAACTTTGAATAGGATAAATTATATCAGTAATCACAAAAAAAGTCACAAGTGGTTTGAGGACGCTATTTACTAAACCCTTGTGGCAGTGGTGGTTGGTATTGTAATTCAACCACTGGGTGGGGTATTTAACTACGGTAACACTGAAAGGTTGTAGAAACGGGACCTGATTTTTTTCTCAATATGATTCTATGCACAATGTGAAGTTTACAATTCAATTCAATCATGATACAATTAAAAATTCAATGACAAGAATGCATGACTAGCTGTGGAATACTATTTTATTTACAAAAAATATGAAGGCAATGGTGTATGAGACCACACGATATATATTGCAAGATAAAGCAACACATTTTGTGACATTTTTGTATTGTAATTAGGGGTGTGCAATATTGACATCTGAATATTTTGGGGGATTTTGTCGATAATAATCAGCAGACGATATTTTGCATCCATCAAAAAAATGTGTTTAAGTCTTATATTGTACTAGTTCACTTTTGTTAGTAGTATATTAATTGTTCCTTATTAATGATATTAATGAAAACAGCATAGTTGATATGCTGATTTACTTAAAACTGATACATTCAAGTACAACCATACACAAACATTAAAATCATTGCTGACTGTGGTTGTGTGCTGGTACCTTGGCTGGTTTAGTCCTGTTGTGGACAGCTGACTCCCAGTGATTTTCATACTGTATTCTTCATATACTGTGTAGTGGTGAGTTCGCACACAGATGGTGAAACAAGCTGTTGGTTTGTCTTTAACACCAACCAATTTCTGAACTAGTGTGTAGGCTGACATGTTTGAGCAACATCTGTCTTTCAAAGCCAAAATACCACTGTGTGAGTGAGGATGATCCACGCCTGGCAATTAAATTAACTATGTAGATTGCAAGGCTTTTGGTGTCTGCATTTTGTCTCTTTGTGCCATCTGTTCACTCATTTTTAGGCAGCTATGCTAACTTAACTTGTGGTGCATTGATCATGCTGCGTGCACTCTCAATGCGGAAGGGAAGAAGGCTATTAAACTAGGATACAGGAGGCAGTGAATGTGTGGACTTCGAAGGCATGTTTCTGACTGTTTTTTGTAAAGTGAGTGACAATTTTGGGCGGCCCAAATTTGTCATAAATGTATAATTTCACCAAAAAAATTAAACATTTTGAGCTTCATAAACACAAATGTTAGGTGGAACTGTTGCATTGAATTGTGTACACTTGTACAACTGTACCTAATGAAGTGGTCGGTGAGTGTATATAGAACCTTATTTTCACTCATTTTGAACCATGTACAGTATGAGATTACTGGTTAACCAATATAAATCATCACCTACATAAAATACTCAAAATAAATGTCTACTGAAATTAAATCTTACAATATGTATAAAATATTTTTAAATTTGGCAAAACCATCCCCTTCTCTATCTAATGTGCATTTACATATTTATGTATGTGTACCCCTAGTGACAATTTACATAACACAAATGAGGACTGCCCTGGTATCTGAATACTGTAGTTAACTGTGCATGCCACGTAACTACAACATCCATGTTTTGATTCTGACTGGGGACCTTTGCTGCATGTCATGCCTCTTTTTCTACCCATGATTCCTGTCTGCTGCTTGCAACTAACTCTTAAAAATTAGAAGAAAAAAATGTGAACCCCCCCCCCAACAAAAAAACTTCTATAAAATGCAAATAATGTTTCAAATTGACAAACTGATGGATGGTTCCAAATGTCTATATCATTTGTATGTGTACTAAAAAAATAAAATTTGTGATCCAAAAGCCTGGTTCACCAATGAATCCAGTTTTCACAGAAATAAATGAACTTATAATTAAAGGCTTTTCATCATACTCGTATCATATCATATCATATCATATCACAAAGGCATTGCTAAATAGAGACTTAAGAAACCTTATAAACTATAAATCTTTTTATTTTGTTTATTTAGCAGAATGCACACAAAACACCCAAAAAATAAAATTCTATCTCCATCATATCTGATCAAAACTGTGCAACTCTCTATCAACACAAATATGTTTTTGCAAATGACAAAAATGTGACAGTTTATTTGTGATATTGCTTTATGTAATCATAAGGAGTGTGTACAAATGAAATTAAAAGAGAGCGAGGATCATACAACAGATAAGAATAAAAGTGACATGATTAGGAAACGAAATATGTTGAAAACAGTTAAAATAAAATATCTTTCTGGCAAAATCATCCTCTGTATACAATAAATGCATATAAGAAACAAATGTCATTATATCGCTAGTCTTTCTTCTTACCTGCGAAGTGGATTCTAAGTGTTATTCCTTAATATTTAAATGGTGAAATTATCTTCTAAAATGAACGGCCAACAACAAATAATCCAGTGGGTTACACATCACAACTGTGTAGGACTGTTCCAACTCTTTCTTCCCCTGTGACCCTCTAAGACCAGAAAAATGTTTGGCTCTCTAGAAAGGAAAGGGGCACTTTCCTCCTCTAAAGGAAACTCCTGATGAGTTCCTTCCTCTGCACTACCACAATAGCATGCAAGCAACTGGAAACACTAGGATCACATCCTGAGTTTGAGGCAAAACACTGCTTTCACAAAGCCCTACAAACCATGTTTCTTTAACATAGAGTTAATGAGTTTTACTGTCACCAAGATCTCAAACTGCATTATTACTGAAACTAGTCCATATCTGGGCATTACAAATAGTCATAAGCAATCAAATGTTTGAACACTTCATGTGATTATGTGGCTTTGTATAAAACTTTGAATAGGATAAATTATATCAGTAATCACAAAAAAAGTCACAAGTGGTTTGAGGACGCTATTTACTAAACCCTTGTGGCAGTGGTGGTTGGTATTGTAATTCAACCACTGGGTGGGGTATTTAACTACGGTAACACTGAAAGGTTGTAGAAACGGGACCTGATTTTTTTCTCAATATGATTCTATGCACAATGTGAAGTTTACAATTCAATTCAATCATGATACAATTAAAAATTCAATGACAAGAATGCATGACTAGCTGTGGAATACTATTTTATTTACAAAAAATATGAAGGCAATGGTGTATGAGACCACACGATATATATTGCAAGATAAAGCAACACATTTTGTGACATTTTTGTATTGTAATTAGGGGTGTGCAATATTGACATCTGAATATTTTGGGGGATTTTGTCGATAATAATCAGCAGACGATATTTTGCATCCATCAAAAAAATGTGTTTAAGTCTTATATTGTACTAGTTCACTTTTGTTAGTAGTATATTAATTGTTCCTTATTAATGATATTAATGAAAACAGCATAGTTGATATGCTGATTTACTTAAAACTGATACATTCAAGTACAACCATACACAAACATTAAAATCATTGCTGACTGTGGTTGTGTGCTGGTACCTTGGCTGGTTTAGTCCTGTTGTGGACAGCTGACTCCCAGTGATTTTCATACTGTATTCTTCATATACTGTGTAGTGGTGAGTTCGCACACAGATGGTGAAACAAGCTGTTGGTTTGTCTTTAACACCAACCAATTTCTGAACTAGTGTGTAGGCTGACATGTTTGAGCAACATCTGTCTTTCAAAGCCAAAATACCACTGTGTGAGTGAGGATGATCCACGCCTGGCAATTAAATTAACTATGTAGATTGCAAGGCTTTTGGTGTCTGCATTTTGTCTCTTTGTGCCATCTGTTCACTCATTTTTAGGCAGCTATGCTAACTTAACTTGTGGTGCATTGATCATGCTGCGTGCACTCTCAATGCGGAAGGGAAGAAGGCTATTAAACTAGGATACAGGAGGCAGTGAATGTGTGGACTTCGAAGGCATGTTTCTGACTGTTTTTTGTAAAGTGAGTGACAATTTTGGGCGGCCCAAATTTGTCATAAATGTATAATTTCACCAAAAAAATTAAACATTTTGAGCTTCATAAACACAAATGTTAGGTGGAACTGTTGCATTGAATTGTGTACACTTGTACAACTGTACCTAATGAAGTGGTCGGTGAGTGTATATAGAACCTTATTTTCACTCATTTTGAACCATGTACAGTATGAGATTACTGGTTAACCAATATAAATCATCACCTACATAAAATACTCAAAATAAATGTCTACTGAAATTAAATCTTACAATATGTATAAAATATTTTTAAATTTGGCAAAACCATCCCCTTCTCTATCTAATGTGCATTTACATATTTATGTATGTGTACCCCTAGTGACAATTTACATAACACAAATGAGGACTGCCCTGGTATCTGAATACTGTAGTTAACTGTGCATGCCACGTAACTACAACATCCATGTTTTGATTCTGACTGGGGACCTTTGCTGCATGTCATGCCTCTTTTTCTACCCATGATTCCTGTCTGCTGCTTGCAACTAACTCTTAAAAATTAGAAGAAAAAAATGTGAACCCCCCCCCCAACAAAAAAACTTCTATAAAATGCAAATAATGTTTCAAATTGACAAATTGATGGATGGTTCCAAATGTCTATATCATTTGTATGTGTACTAAAAAAATAAAATTTGTGATCCAAAAGCCTGGTTCACCAATGAATCCAGTTTTCACAGAAATAAATGAACTTATAATTAAAGGCTTTTCATCATACTCGTATCATATCATATCATATCATATCACAAAGGCATTGCTAAATAGAGACTTAAGAAACCTTATAAACTATAAATCTTTTTATTTTGTTTATTTAGCAGAATGCACACAAAACACCCAAAAAATAAAATTCTATCTCCATCATATCTGATCAAAACTGTGCAACTCTCTATCAACACAAATATGTTTTTGCAAATGACAAAAATGTGACAGTTTATTTGTGATATTGCTTTATGTAATCATAAGGAGTGTGTACAAATGAAATTAAAAGAGAGCGAGGATCATACAACAGATAAGAATAAAAGTGACATGATTAGGAAACGAAATATGTTGAAAACAAATTTAGCAAATGCATATTTTTTGTAAAAGGCACAGAACTTAAGGATGAATGAATTTTCTTAAAATGAAGAGAAAAATACTGACAGCAATTAAGAGAGCTGATAGTTTCCAAACAATGATTGTCTTTGCAATTATGGTACTGTATATACAACATAATCACTCTTTAGAATGTGTTATGAAGGGCCAGCTTTATGTTGCATATACTGCTTCTGCAGTGAATATATAATATCAAAGCTTGAAAATAAAATCATTTCATACAAAAAAGTGTTTATATTTGTGTCTGGGTGTATAAACAACGTGTTCCTTCAAAATAACTATTTTAACAATCTGTTCTGTTCAATAAACCCCTGGATACAAATACACCACACCTGTTCATTAACAACATTCATTTGATAGAATGGAACAGGACAACACAAAATCTGAATAAACTATTGGTAAAAATTTTATGATAGCAGATTTTCAATAATTTTGGTCTATGTACAAAAACAGTATTTATTAATACAATACAAATTCATCATATTTACAATCTGAAGGGATATTAAACAATCTCATGCATTCCTGTCTGATTACTGAAAAAAGAATTACTCGTTATTAATGATAATGAGGTGACTATGAACTTCCCCCTGATTTTTAAAGAGCTACAGTTTGAAGAATTGACCATAACAGGAGAATGTATTTGAGGGTACATGAGAGAGTTCAATTTTCCTCATAATTAGTCATTTTTTGGAGAAACATTTAGTTCAACTTTTGGCAGCTTAAAACCACCTCTTGAACCACTGTCACTGCTGGAAGATGAAGACAATCTTGATTTTTTAGAGGGTAGAGACACACCTGTACTTCCCTCTACTCTTGCTTCATTATCCTCACCAAGTGACACTTCATATGAGCCCTTTGACTTTGAACCAAAACCTCCAAAAGTGCCAAACTTCAACTTGCCTTTCTTTCCTTTTACCTTGCTTCCTCCTAGGTCTAATGAAATGTCGCCACCCTCAGCTTCTAAGTGACCTGAAGGAGAACTTGCTGCAAGCCCTCCCTCATCACTCAGAGAAGAAGACCAATGCCTCGATTTCTTAAAGAAATCAAGTGAAGCTGATTTGCCTTTAGTTGACACGCTGAGCTTAGGCTCACCCTCTAATTCAAAATTTCCACCTACCAGCTCCCCAGTATGTACACTTAGTTCTTGAGAGACCTTACCAGCATTTCCACTACCACTCAGTTCTACATCTGGTCCCTGAAGGTCACCTGCACTACTGCCCTTTGCTTTTGATTTACCAAATAATTTTGGCACTTTTACCTTTACTTTACCTTCACTATGCCTCACTTCTGGACTGGGAACCTTGATATTTTGTGAACCTGTTTGGCAACTAATAGATGGAGACTGTATGTTTATGCCTCCACTACCTGAAAGGCCTGATTCACGATTTTCTCCACTTTCCTGGCCTTCCATCTGAGGCAAAGCAATACCAAACTTTGGTATTTTGCCTTTGGAGAATGTTACTGTACCCTCTGAGTATTGAAGGCCACCAATTGCAGTGTCCCCTGAAACATTTGTATGAATCTCAGCACCACCTTTGACATTTGACATTTTAATATTAGGAGGCTTTAATTTCACATCTGGCCCTTGCAGACTAACATTTGCAGTGTCAGTACCAGATCCCTCAATGGCAGCGTTCAAGCTAGCTGAAGGCAAATCTAGATCAGGTGATTTCAGTCCCTCTGATAAAGATCCATCGCCTTTCAATTTTGGTGACTTGATATCGAATTCCACATCTGGAAAATTAAGCTTACCAAAAAGAGTCTTCTTTGCCTTTGTTCCTTTGACATGAATATCAGGGGTTTCTAAATCCAGGTCTACTGCTGGTGCTTCTAAGTGAACATTGGGTGTCTTTGCCTTTGCTTTGCCTTTGGCAAGTTTAAATTTACCTTTTTTCCCCTTTACATTGATGTTGATATCAGGGGCATCCAGACTTGCTTCAGTATCAGGGAGACCAACTTCTGTTTTGGAAACTTTTGATCCTGCAGTAAAGGTAGGAGTTTTAAGGTGTCCCTCCTTTTCAGGGGATTTCATTCCAAATTTAGGACCTTTGAACTTGGGAAAGGTAACACCTGTCTTTCCACCTTCAACAGTGATGGTAGGAGCAGACATGGCCACATCAGCATCAGTCCTGTATTTTGGTCCTTTCATGTCAGCATCTCCCTTAATTTTGGGCCCTTTCAGACTAATATCCCAGTCAGGCAGCTTGGGTCCTGAAATGCTGGGCATTTGGAATTTGGGTCCTTTGAGTTTTGCATCAGGACCTTCAACATCAATTTCTGGTCCCTTAATGCCAACTTTAGGTGCCTTAACATCAATGCCACCCTTGGGAAGTTTTATATCAACATCTGGACCCTCCAGTTTTGGGACATTGATGTCAAGTGATGGCATTTGGATTTTAGGCATTTGAATTCCACCCTTAGGCCCATGGATGTCGACCTCTGGACCTTTGATGTCAAGATCGGGTGTTTTAATGTCTCCCTTAATCTTTGGAATGGACATGTCCACTTCACCTTTGATTTTTGGAGCTTTCATATTGAAATCTACTTCTGGAAGTGAAAAAGATGGTCCTGAAATGGTGGGCATGCTAATTTTGGGTCCTTTCATTTTACCACTTGGACTTTCAATGTCAACATGTGGTCCTTTGATATCCACTTCAGGGGCTTTGAGGTCAATATCCGGTTTTGGAAGACTGACATCAATGTCTGGTCCCTCCAGTTTTGCACCTTTTCCTCCAAAATGTGGCATTTTAAATTTAGGCATTTTAAATCCTCCTTTGGACCCATCGATATTAACATCTGGTCCTTCAATGTCAAGCTTGGGAGACTGGATTTCACCCTCAATCTTTGGAACTGACACATCAGCATCTCCCTTAATTTTGGGCCCTTTTAGACTAATATCCCAATCTGGCAGTTTGGGTCCTGAAATGCTGGGCATTTGGAATTTGGGTCCTTTGAGTTTTGCATCAGGACCTTCAACATCAATTTCTGGTCCCTTAATGCCAACTTTAGGTGCCTTAACATCAATGCCACCCTTGGGAAGTTTTATATCAACATCTGGACCCTCCAGTTTTGGGACATTGATGTCAAGTGATGGCATTTGGATTTTAGGCATTTGAATTCCACCCTTAGGCCCATGGATGTCGACCTCTGGACCTTTGATGTCAAGATCGGGTGTTTTAATGTCTCCCTTAATCTTTGGAATGGACATGTCCACTTCACCTTTGATTTTTGGAGCTTTCATATTGAAATCTACTTCTGGAAGTGAAAAAGATGGTCCTGAAATGGTGGGCATGCTAATTTTGGGTCCTTTCATTTTACCACTTGGACTTTCAATGTCAACATGTGGTCCTTTGATATCCACTTCAGGGGCTTTGAGGTCAATATCCGGTTTTGGAAGACTGACATCAATGTCTGGTCCCTCCAGTTTTGCGCCTTTTCCTCCAAAATGTGGCATTTTAAATTTAGGCATATTAAATCCTCCTTTGGACCCATTGATATTAACATCTGGTCCTTCAATGTCAAGCTTGGGAGACTGGATTTCACCCTCAATCTT